TTGCTGTTGCATAGAAAAGGCTGAGGCTTGCATCTTCTGAGGAAAATACAAGAGATGTGGCCAAAGATTCATTCTGGCTTCCTGGAAGACTATGCAGCCCCTTACAGGAGCTCTTGTTTGTATGCAGAGATCACCTTAGAAAGCTGTCAATTAGGCAGCTGTCAATAGCAGCTATGCCCTTTGCTTTTCACCTAAACAGGATGACTAAGAACGGTTCAGCTGAGTTCCCTGGAGCTAAGGCAGAGACAGTGAAGATTCCCTATTCTACGCTGATTCTACAGATCTCTTGTCAGACATCAGAAGTGCCACTTAAAACCTCACTTTGTCAGCTGTACTTGCCTGCTCATAGAATCAGAGCGCAGCACAGTGCTGCCTATTGGCCAGGCTTCCATGCATGAGTGCTGCTGATGCAAGTATGGCTTCTTAGACTGCAATCCCTTGCTTGGCTTCCAGTGCTCCACACCCAGTGGTGTTCCTCCCAGCCTGGAAGTGGACCCAGCAGGAAACAAGGAGAAATTGCTGTGCATTCAGCCTATTCCTTTCTTTAGTACATGTATTAGCTAAAAAGGTGCAGGCCATAATTCTCATATACCTGCACTTATATAAGCTTGCTTTGCATGCCACTGATAGATATGATTGGCAGGGGAAAAAGCCTGATTTAGCTAGGGCTTCTTTCTAAAAATAGGTAATCAATTTCAGCTCAAGCATCTCAGGTTATAGGAAAAGAAAATGATTTTGCTTGGGCACATAATAAGCTTGGATAATCAGTTTTCCTGCATAAAAGCAATGAATCCAAGTGTTTAAAAGAAAAGGAATCTTATTAAAAAGGGTAAAATGGAAACTCAAAATGAACAGTGGAAGGTCTGTTTACTGAAGTCACCAACAGAACCTGAAAGCATCTTAGTAAAGTAACCCACTCCCACATTTTGCCAGGAGTTGAGAGAGTCCCTTGTTCCTGTGTAAGGAAATGTTGTTCCTAAACCTCTCTTTGTTATTCTCAAATGCAGCGATTCCATCTCTGATGCACCTCCTCTATGATGACAGGCTGAAAGAGCTGGGCTTGTTCAGCCTGGAGAAAAGAAGGCTGTGGGGTGACCTCATGGCAGCCTTTCAGTACCTAAAGGGAGCCTACAAACAGGAGGGGAATCAACTCTTTGAAAAGGTTGATGACTGCAGGACAAGGGGAAATGGTTTTAAGTTTGAGGGAGGGAAGATTTAGGTTGGATGTCAAGGGGAAGTTCTTTACAGACAGAGTGGTGAGGTGCTGGAACAGGCTGCCCAGAGAGGCTGTGGATGCCCCGTCCCTGGAGGTGTTCAAGGCCAGGTTGGATGGGGCCTTGGGCAGCCTGGTCTAGTATGAAATGGGGAGGTTGGTGGCCCTGCATGTGGCAGGGGGTTGGAGATTCATGATCCTTGAGGTCCCTTCCAACCCGGGACATTCTATGATTCTGTGAATCTGTGAGGCTGGGCCACTGCTGTAGCAGATCTAGCCCAAGAAACCTTGGTTCACAGTCCTCACACTTCCTCCTCAACATTTCAGATCCTCAGGGGAAGAGTCATTGGCAAGCAAAATCCAAAGATAACCCTCAGAAAAGAAAAGAAAAAAATTACACTTCTTCCTCCATAGCTCCTTTGTTCTATGAGTATCAACAACACAGGAAATTCCTAATGGTCAAAACATTATTCTCTCCTAGTGAGTAATGGTGTTTTAAATACCTTTCAACAGAAGACAGAATTGCATTTCAGCCATAGCATCCAAGACTGAAATCCACTGAAGCCAATTCACTTGCATTCTCTTTGTTGGGATCTCCAGCCACTTTGGGAAGCTCTGGATTTCTCTTTTATCCCATTATAGGGAGGATTAGCAGTAAGTACTCCATTCCTTTAGGAATACCGGGTTTATCTCGGGAGAGATGTAGCTCTGAATTTAAGTTTTATTTCAGTGCAAGCTTTACAGGATAGTGAACTTATAGCAAGGTGAAGACTTTGATAAGAATCCTTGCACTGACTTCTTACAATTGTTACCATTTCTTTAGTGAGCCATTCTAAATCACTTATGGTGGAGATATCGGAGATTGGAATCATTCAGCATAGGACGGGATAGGAAGAAGTCAGAGGGCTGAATGAAAAAATATTGGCTGGAGAACAGAAAATCTTCCTTATCAGTGATATCCTTCAGAACCACTTGTTTCTCAATTACAGGCATGCATAAACCTAAACTAGGAAATATCATTTACTTCAGGAAAAACTAGAAGGTAGGAGAATTACAGAATCATAGATAGAAGGAATCTTTAAAAGGTCATCTGCTCCAACTCCCTTGCGATGAATAGAGACACCTACAGGTAGATCGGGGCACACAGCCTCTCCAGCCTGACCTCGGATGTCCCAGGGATGGGGCATCTTCCACCTCTTTGGGCTGCCTGTCCCAGTGCCTCACTACTCTTACTGTAAAAAACTTCTTCCTTTTATCCAGTCTAAATCTCCTCTCTTTCAGTTTGAGACCATTTCCCCTTGTCCTATAAAGAACCTTGGATGTAATTGGTCTCTTCAATTTCAAATTGCTATAGTATGGTTATCTGTATTTCAAGTACATTAACTGTTTATAGATGTCTGAAACAGCACTTAAATAGCTATTTTGGTAAACAGTTTAAGAAAGGTAGAGAATAATCTTTTTTTTTTTTTTTTTTTTTTTTTTTTTTTTTTTTTTTTTGTAAGCTCTTGCCTGCAGATAAAACATTGGCTCACAGCTGCCACCCAATGATAAGACCTGGTAAAATCACTGAAACGCATTGCAAAGTGCTTAGTGAGACTGTTTAGAGGATGCCAACTAATTTCTCACTGTATAGAAAAGGCAATGAAAAGCCATTTCCCTTTCCATTTCTTTTCCACTCCTCTTCCCCAGCATTTTCATAGCCCACCACTCATTTCATTACCTGTAATGAGGTCTTTTCCTTAAGAAAATTTGTTTTGTTAACTTGTTAACTTTGTTTTTCTTTCCCTTCTGTATTGATCTTCTACTGGTCATCAAGTGGAATCAGTTCAAAGTATTGGTAGGTAAGCAAGCAAGTAAGAATGAATGGCTGAGAGTATATGAATGGGTAGAAGACAGACATTCAGCTGTGGTGAGAGCTTATTTCAGACCAGCTCTTGCCTACTTGCATCTGACATGCTATTTGGAGATACCAAAACTAGCTTAAAATATGCATGTTTGGGTGCCCAAGGCAATCCAGTCATCATGGAGTGCCACACAGTAGTGTTCCTAGCCAAGATTCTGGCTAAATTATTCTGTTCATCACTCAGAAACTTCAAGTACTCATTGATTTCGGGAGCTGAGCTGTCTCCTTGAAAGCCATCTCAGTTATCTCAGCAGCTTTTGATGTGTCACCCTTTGCAAAGTGTTTGCCCCTGTCTCTGCTGTCATTTGGTGAAGCATGGAGATGAAGGGGAATTGACATGTGTGTGTGTTTAGTTGGCATCAAACAGCTGCCACCCATTCAAGTCCACTATACAGTGTCAACTATTTTGTATCGTTTAACTGCTTATAAATACAATATTTTATTTTATAGGAAGCATGCAAAATGACTTCACTGCTCTTTGCTGCGGAAGGCAAACAACATGATTTGTGATAGCATGTAATGATGCAGCAAGACCTTCCAGTCTGTTTTCCTTCTTATCAAGTCTCTTCATTAGCCTTTCATGGGTAGCAAAGTGCATTTTCTCCAAGCTGTACAGTAATTCTGCAGTCTGTCTGCTCAGACATTAGGAAGAGAGAGCTGTAAAATCTGTATGCTGATTCAGCCCACATGTTACGTCTTATGTGTGTATTAGCTAACCATACCCTGAACTGCCTACTTTCAATATGCCAAACAATGTTGGTATATTTCTGTTTATGTTTACTGGATTAGGACTTGCCCCATGCACTGTTTCAGAAGATGGTATTTATTATGGATTCACATTGGTCATGAGTGACAGATGAACCCAGAACAGGATGTTCTTACAAAGCAGTGCAATGTATGATGCTATGAGGCCCCCCTTCAGCCCCCTCTGATCTGGGCTGAACAGACCAAGAGACCTCAGTTACCCCTCATGCATCTTGCCTTCCAGACCATCTTTGTAGACCTCCTTTGGACACTCTCTAATAATTTTATATCCTTCTTATATTGGTGCCAAAAACTGCATGCAGTATTTGAGATAAGGCTGCATCAGTGCAGAGCAGTTCATCCTTCACTGCTTTTATGCAGTCAGCGCATTGTTACCTAATCCCCAACCAATGAAGGGTAGAGTAAAAATCTTAATTCTGCCCCCAAAACAGGATGTATCACTTAGTGGAGTAGCAGTCTTTTAAAACTGTGAAAGTTTGGGACCAGAGGGGACTGGACTCAGGACATCACTATTTCCAGACATCAATCGCTGTGCCAAACTGGTATGGAGCTGGAAGGACCAATCCTGCAGTAAGGACCAACAGGAATCCCCAAACACCCTATGGGTCTGGCAGCATTCAAGCATCTTGGTGATCCTAGATTATTGTTCAGATACATTTTCAGAACTTCAGATTGTGCAGACTGTGTAGTAGATGCATACAGTTTGGTGATGATGCTTCTCTGGGAGATTGGGAAAGGGCTAGCATAGATGAGTACAGTTTATGAGAGTTTCAGTAGGAGTCCATTCACACTGTGGATTCAGGGAGGGTAATATTCAAAAGCCCTGCTCACTTCCACCTGGACTTCATTCTCCCTGTTGTCCTCTCATACTGCTCAGTGGGATTCTTGGCTGTGCATCATCGATCCTACTCCATCTTATGAGCTTATATGGCCTTGTCTCACTACCACATACTTCTACCCTCTGAAAAGGAATATATATATATATATATGTATGTATATATATATATTTTTGCATTTGCATTCAGATTTATCTTGCATTGCTCTCTCAAAGACACTCTACCCGAGAGGGAAGGAGAGTAATAGAAAAAAATCTGTAGCTGACAACTATTAAGCAATGGGTTGGTGCTCTACATGGAGGTTTATTAGATGGTTGAGGAAGAAGATCATGTAGTGAATGCAGTTCAGTACTTCATCTTCTAGGGCTTGACTTTTTTCTTCCCATATTTATCCTCCAATGCCTTCTGCAGGTTAAGATTTAAGGCATTTTTCTGATGCCACCTCCCTGTAAAGAAGAAAATGATGGTTCATTTACTGCCTCCCTTCTAATGCTGTTATCCCTCAGGGATTTTTCTAGTTGCAGAAAATCCTCTCGTTTAAATGCCAATCTTAGTCCCCATCTTTGTCCAGATTCATCCATTACCGCTGACGGCGGCAGCACCCTGCTCAGGAATTCAGCAATGTACTTTTCCTGACAGATTCCATACCTAGCTCATCAATCCTCCTTCCATGCCAGTTCCTGGGATCCCTGGTTGCCTTCTGAAGTACATCAGGGGTGTAGGAATCCTTCATTAAGCTTCTGCTTTCCAGTGGGCCGCCTACAAGAAACAGCAAATGAGGAAATATATGCAGATATCACCCTAATGCAGTCCTGGAATTGAAGCAGAGCAGCAACACCAGCAGTTTCAAGGGCACAGGAAAAGTCATGTGTTGACTGCAATACCCTTGATCAGATCTGTGGCTTGATGCTGAATAATAGTTTCATTATCACCCAGGAGGGAGCTTGTTTTTGCCAGTGCATCTGCTTTTCATACTTAAGGATGAGACATGTTTACAGGGTACAGCAAGGGCATCACCTTTATTTGTATCCCAGTGCACTTTCTTTACTCAAGTGCCCACCTGATCTCCCTTTGAATCTCCTCAACCAACTGAGTAGCTTCCCTACTCAACATTACAGCTCCACAAAAAGCACTATTGCACCACTCCAGGCCTTCCTGAGTTCCTATTCTGCCATAATACTTAAAATTAGCTCCTAACTGTGACTTCTCTGTTTACTGCCTCTTGACTTCTGGACATTTGGGGAGCATTATTTTTATTCTCTCCTTCTCAGTTTCCTTTTTATTGTACCCTCTCCATGATAATAATAATTTTGAGCTTCCTGGGAGAAGATGTTCCTCCTTTCTGTGTGACAAAGCTCAGGACAATGCAATCTCCAATACCTAACAGAGGTTTGAGAAGACATTTCAAAGGCCCATATCTCTAAATGTCTTGAAGATAAGTAATGCTAGTATTGAACATTGAGGTAATTTGAGACAAGAGATGACAGGGCACACTGAATTCCAAATGGTGTTCATTTAGCACTGAGTAGGGAGAACTGGGGTCATAATACAGCTTCAATTTTCATGCCTTGGAAATTAAAGGGGAGAGAAGAAGAGAGGAAAGAAGTATGTAGAAAGGGAGGCTCTAGCTTTCATTTCTTGGGAAAGGAGTGACTGTGGTTATCAAAGAAGTAAGAGGTCAGACTCTGTCCAAACCAATGCAGCTGCTCTGAGCCCAGGCACAATGCAGACAGAACCAGCTTGAAGGTCAGGCATAGGTACAAGCATCTCTTACCTTGGAAGATGTTTGACCTCAGGTTGAAACCCAGCTCATTGAAATCATCAAATGACTCCAGCTTTTTTTTTAGCACCTCAGAGCGGTCACTGAGTCTTTTCTGTCCTATGACAAGTGCTGTCATGCACAGAGACCGCCGCTCCTGAAAACACAAACAGCAAGAAACAATCATCTTTCAGTGCTCCCTACATGCACGAGACTCCTGGTGTTTCCATCCCTGCATAAGCTTTTGAGCTACAATAAGTCCCTGGGACTTGACTCTGCCCTTGAGTCTCCTTCAGCAGTCTCTGTATGCATTGCATGGGACATTCGGAAATGGTAAAATAGGTGCAAATCAGAAAGGGACAAGGGTGTTGGACTCTGGACTGGGTCCAGGTGCCACCCTGTTTCACCCTGTGAGCTACTATTCTGCCGGCCTCTGGGAACCTTATAAATGAAGGGGTGAAGGAAAAACAAACTGAAAAAAAAAAAACCACCAATGGAGATGTGAAAGGCTGGCTGTGGAACATGTCACAGTCCCTTACTGTGAAGTCCCAAACCATCTCTCTCTCTGTCTTCTAGAAACTGCTAATATTTCACTCAGTACCATAAAACATCCTTCAGTATGCCATAAAGGAGATGTAAAACATCTTTTCTAATACCTCTTCATTGCTGTTAAGTTCATCAGCACAGGCAAATTTATTTTTGCTGTTGTCACAGGTCAAACTGTTTTTCTTCTCCAGAGGCATCTTCCATTCTGCTTTCATATCTGGCGCTATTGATGACAGGGACTCATTGGTCTCCTTGGCTTTTTCACAGCTGGTTTTCCATGGAGATCCAGGCATTTTAGAACCTGGGGTTTGCTGCTGGCCTGCTACTAACTCTTTGCCATTGTGCATGGATTTGGTGTTCTCTGCCTCCATCTGCCTGGATGCTGCAGATGCATGGGAAATGCTGTTCCTGCTTCTTGGCTCAAGCCTTGCCCTTGGGTCTTTGGTGGCAGAAGTACCTTCTCCTTCCTCTTCAAGTCTTCTTGAATGATGATTCTGCATGTGGGGAGTTTTGGCTTGGAGATTCTGTTTTCTCTGAATATTTTTATTCTGAGTACCCTTTACCGAAGGAGATGCTTTGGATTTGATATATGTGGAGTTCTTCGTTGTTCCCCGAGCTGCTTGGTTCTTCGAGATCTTGCAGGAGACTGTGCTGGAAGTCTTTTGGGATGTTCTCTCTCTGCTGGGACTTAAGCCTGCTGGAAGATGCTCCTTTTTCCCTTCCTCAGGTTCCACTTAAAGACAAAAGGCATAGCTCAGTGAACTTGATACTGTCTGGATGATTGAAGGGGGTAACTCAAATGGATCTGGAAAAAACCTGGCATGTCACTCTGTCATTGGCAAACAACAAAAGAATTAAAGTCTTAAAGAGAGAAAGAAAGCAGAAATGAACAACAACAGACTTGTGTCAAATTTCATGCTGAACCAGAAGGTGCCTGAGCAGTCTTAAATGTTTCTGATACATGAACAGGCACAGAAATATGCAAGTAAAAGTCCTATGGTCAGACATGCACATACATGTCTGTATTTTCTTACATGTAGGTGGTTTTTCCAACTCATGATCATTGCCACACTCATGAAGATCCATTTAGTGTCTGTTACTCATTCGTATTTGTTGAGTTTACTGAATAACAGCAGCTTACTGCACAGGGAGATACGGAGACAAGGTTGGGGAAAACATGCAGAGGGATTTTAACCCACCAGCCTCCTCAGGAAGGAAAGAGGGAATGACACACTGCATCACAAGCTGTATTGCAAAGCAAGCTCTGGAGGAGGGACAGCTTCACTGCTATCTTGCTTACCTGATGCACTGTTGGTAGGCACAGAGTCACTTTGGGCCACATCAAGTCTGGGGGATGTTGGGACCTTTGTCATTGCCTTAGAAGAAATACAAATGCTGTGTCAGGTGCAGAGAAGGGAATTAAGGGAACGGCCTTGCTCATTTGCTCATCTTTTGGTTACATACTTTATTCTTAAGCAAATGGAGTGTAGCTAATTTCACTCAAGTGAACTCTGAGAGGTTAGAGCTGAAGCCACGCTCTATGATGGTGAACATGTTGTTTGTGAGTCTATCAGTAATATAAGAGTGATCTGGATCAGGCAGGGACATACGTCTGCATTTGTCAAATGAGCTCAGGGTATGTCATACATGCTTAGCTTCTGCTCAGTTTTTTGGAATACAGACACCAGCTGAGAGGGCAGGAAGCCCACTGCTTCAAGGTTAGCTCATGGGAACAAACAGGGCTGATCTGAGCCATCAACTTCTTCCACGGTATACCAGCACTTTGCAGCAGCATGGCTGGTACAACACTGGGAAACTGGAGCCACTGTGTAAGTCAGGCTCCAAGTGTAAATGCTGCGTGCTGTGCAAATGTGGCAAGAGAAATAGCTTCTTCCACAAAGAGAAAAATGCCTTGATACGCAAAGAAGGTAGCCCTGACTCACGTGGCGGCATCTCCTCTTCTGTATTGCTTTTAAAGAAGAGCTAAACATTTAAACATGTGCAGGAATCTGCACTTCTAAATAAACTGTTTTAACTCCCACCTCTTACTTAAAACAAAATTGTGTCTGTTATTATTACTACATTCAGTGGAAAGAACATTCCAGTTCACCATTGTAGAAATTCCTCCTCTCCCCATTTCAATGCCTCTCTTTCAATGAAGCAGAATTTCTGAGTACAGAGGCAATGTTGTCATTTCTCAAGCCCCATTCACTGATAACCTTCATTTTCCCAGTTCATGTTGGACAAAATGATGCTGAAGTCCTGCAATTGCCCTTACTTTCCTTACTTGTAATTGGATTTGACTTTATTGCTATTGTTTATCGTTCATTTTACTTCTGAGCCAGAAAGTCCAAAGTCAAAATACCATTCTCAGACTCCTAAATCTTAATATGAAAAAGGACTCTAAGATCATTCGGCTATCCTCCTGAATAACAGACACCACAGAGCTATGTCTACTTATTCCTTTGCTAAACCAATTATGTGAGGGACAATAAATGACATACCAGAAAAGACATTTATCGATCAAACATAAAAATGATTAAACTTGATACCTCCTTCTGAAATACAAAAGAAGAGTGTTTCTATAGTCTTTGACTTCCTTTACATCGAGCCATGGAAGAAATACAGATGTAAAATCAGCAGGCCATTCTCACCCAGTCAACAGCCGTGATCAAGCACGGTCTTATATGCCTTCTGCATCTGGCTGGGCCTCCAAAATATGAGGATACTTAATTGACTTTCCAGACCTGAGAAGTTCCATAGATGTTACAATGTAGTGGGATCATTTCTATCCTCTTATTTTTTTCTTTTTTTTTCTTCCAATACAGAAAAGATTGAGGATTTAACTAGGGGCAAAGCCCCTTCCAAAATTACCTCTCCCATCTGATCCATGGTCCCTGATGTAGTGCCACAGTGATTCTTACAAGCAGGCAGGTCCTGATGGGTATGGAGGTGGTCTGAATGTTGAAAGGCAGGAACAGTTGCTAGGGAACAACTTTCTATCTATGAGCTGTAGTCACCATGGGAACCAGAAGAAACATGGCAGAGACGAGCAGCATCCTTGCTGATCAAAAAAAAAAAACCAAAAACAAGCGAACAAAAACAGAAAAAAACAAAACAGAACAAAACCAAAAACAACATAGGAAAGAGTAAAAGACTCATGTCTGTGTCCATAAGTCTTCATCCCATACATAGGATTTCTTGGAGACTTTCATGAGGCAATCCTGACTATCAACAAGACTATTTCAGCAGAACTGGATCTTATACCAAATGGTTCATGTGAGCTCACTGATCCCCATCAGAGAGGCAGGGAAAGGTGCCCCCATTTTCCACATTGGAAAAGGGAGTTGGTTGGCTGTCAAACAGCATCACATCCAGTCAGTAACAGAACCAAAGCCTGGCTCTCCTGTATTCAGCACACAGAGCTATAATTCAGACCCAGAGTTTTCATATGTTGCACTACACCATGAACTTGCATTCTCATAAGGCCACAAGAATTTCTGGAAGCCTCAAGGGAAGAGTGCAAATCTCCCTCATGCTGCAAAGCTGCTTTTCCCACCCAGCACAAAGAAGTCAGGGGCAACAGAAAATAATTAGATACGTTCATAAGTGCATTATTTTAGAAACAGATTTTATTTCATTGCGAGAAACTGCAAGCTGTGATAGAAAACTACTGATCATTCCGTGAAAAATGGACAAAATAAAATCAGCATGATTTTTTTTTTCTCTCTCTTTTTTCTACCTCTTCCCTTTCCTTTCTGCACCCTGGGCTACAGACAGCCTAAGCAACAACTCTCCCTCTAGCCCTTGCTGCGCTTCACCTCAGTGACCTTGTACTGAGGTGGGGCACGGTGGAACCACTCAGACCAGGAGCCATCATAAACTGCCACATCAGGCTTGCCGCAAAGGTAGGCTGCCAAGGCAATGTGACATGCAGTGACACCTTTGCGGCATGTGGCAGTCAGTGGCTTTGAGAGATCCACTTTCTTCTCACGGAACATCTGCTGAATCTCCTCAACACTCTTCTCGTGGCCGCTTTCTGTTAGGAATGTTGAGAAGGGCATGTTCACAGCACCAGGGATGTGACCGGATTCCAGCCCTGCAAGAGCAAGCAAGAAGAAAAAATACGAGCAAGGAGTCATTAATGTGGGTGATGAGGGATACCTGCAAAAGAGACACTAAAGAGACATCGCCGCAGATACTCCCCAAGATGCTCAGTTGTTTCAGGTGGTGATGGAGGTGCAAAACAGTTTGCGACTAAAAAGAGGGCAAACATTATTTAACTTGGCTGAAGTTATTTAGAAAACTGTTTCCCCCCCGAAAGCAATAGGAGGTAGGAATCTGAAAGCCTTGACAGCTCTAAATGTGACAAGAATCAAAGAGCCATGACAGGAAAGATCCTAGCAAAAGTATTATGCACACCTACATAAAGAGAAACACAGTAGTATATTTCTGACCTTCCTTAAGTATGCCAGCATCATGTAGGGACACAGCATTCCTGTGTCACATTAAAATCATGCTTCAGAAAAATAAAGCAACCTTAAAGTGATAGACTGATTACTGATAGGGCAGATATACCAGAGCAACAGAGCCAGAGGAGTAAGAATTTAAAGTTTCTATCACTTTTTATCTACCTCATGGATGAAATCAGTGTGAGTTCTGTTTCTCAACTGGTAACGCTAACCAGTTAAGCTGAAACTTACATCTCAAGAACAAGTTCTCCAGAGAGATGCAGGTACACAAATACAATGGATGAGATTTTCATCACATTCTTGAAACTCTCACCATAGGTTTAATTGAAGTCTATTACATTCAACTCAAGTTTTTCCACAGACTTTGAGAAGCTTTAGATCAAGCCCTGTCAAAGCAGGAAACACTAAGTATTACCTTGAATGGCTCCTTGCTAGGTTTGAATTTCTAACAAGATAGCCCTGGGAAAGTTGCAAAAATGGTAATCTTTCATTTATAGCTTTCCACTTCCCTAAGGCATTAGAGTAGCTGATCTCAGGAGATGGGAAGAGATTGGAGCAGGGAATCTTTGTTGTAGCCAAAAAATTAAAGTAACATTTGGTCAGAGACTGGTATCACCATAATGATGCTGCAGTTTCATCCCTCATGCAAAATGATGTCATGACATGACAGGACATCCCACAAGGAAACAGGATTATAAGATCCTGTTAAAGAGAGGATTTTTGCTCAGCTGGGCAAAACTAGGAGCTTATAGACAGCCAAAGCTCTCTAGAGAACCTCTAGACAGCAAAATCTCTCACTGTTCAAGATGGACCCACTTGATTCATCCTGAGTGTAGTACAAATCTGACACTGCTGCACCAACACAGATAAGTCTGTGATAATAACTGCAGCCTCATATCATCCTAGGGCTCTGGGGAAGTAGTCGAAGGTCAAGAAGTCCTGGGGGCTGAACAACAGAGGCCAGTCCTTGCTCAAAGAGGCTTTCTGGGTCACTGATTCAGTTCGTAGCTGTTCCAGGTCTAATGATCACAATATGTATGTTAGCATCCTCTTACTGGAGACTGCAGTCTGACATTCACCACCTTTAAACACATATTTAGTTAGGAGCAAGGCATCAAGAACTCTCATTTTAGGGTATTTAGGCTTATATCTGTAGCGAGATTCAAAAGTTTGTCAGAGTCAGAAAGAGCAGTGCTCAGGCTGTGCAAGGGAAAGTGGGGGAATCTGTAGAAACAGCACTTACTCCTGTGTGTGGGCACTCGGCTGAACAAAGTAGCTGACACTGCACTATCACAGCTCCTTGAACTGCTGAACAAGTGCTCTTGAGTGGCTGAGGAAGTTTTACCAGCTCCCTCTCTTCTAGCTCCCTCCCTTGGGCATCAAACAGTACTTGTGTTACTTGCCCTCTTCTCAGATCGAGATAATAACGGTCCCCTTAACCTTATGTCCAAAGTATCAATGAGACTCAAATGGATCAAATCTGCTTTGAAGCTGCTTCCAATAGCTGGAAGAAAGGATCAAACATTACATCCATGCACGCGCATTTCCTTTTCTCTTACTTTGCAAATCGATTTTGTTGTCAAATAAATTGAGCCCTTAGTTAAAGTGCAAATTTATGAAGGTATTTTATTCAATTCTGCCGTCACTTCACATAATTTCTTGAAAAGTTTTTTGAAACCATTACAGTCTACTGATGTTACATTATTAGAGCAACAGCTACATAGGCCACTCTGTATCTCCTAGCCTAAGTAAAAAGACAAGCTTTGCTAGTGTTTCTCTCCTTTAAAACCATGTTCTGATGTGATCTTATTAAATGTCTCATTTCGTTAAGCTGCAATGTCACATGACTGATTTTTGACTTCTGTTTGGGACAGAAATTATCTGCCTCACAGATTTGAGCACGTGGACATCTTTTGGTTATATACTCCATTTAAAAATGATCATTTCTGCCTCTCTCCCCTTTGTTACCCCTCACACTACTCTATAATAGACAATATCCTCGGTGGTAAAAAAACAAAAATGACGATCGGAAACGCTATATCAAAATACTATGCATGTACAAGAAAACCCAAACATCCAGACAACCAAAAAATCCAACAGCACAGCTCCAGTATAATTCTGAAGAAAGTACACAGTCTTTCACCCAGAACCCCTGCTAACTGCATAGCAACCTTATTTACTCTCTCTCTCCTTGTTCTCTTTTTATTCACTTTGCTCCAGCAGTTTTTGTTGTTTTAACTTCCTTTGCCAAGTCTCTCTCACTCAGCTTGGCTTCTGGCAATTCTTCCTCACACTTTGTAACCTGCAATATGTTATCTTCTTCACTGTTTAATCCCCTTTTCCACATCTGTTAGGTTCTTTGCTTAAACCTCTCTTTTTTATTGGCTATTTATCTAGCTAAGAGTACAGTTCCTTCTCTCCAGACTTTCCCTTTGTGACAAAAACTCCAAATGGAATTTCCTCTGGGCAAAAAGATTAAAGATGTGCCTTGTTCACATTTAACTCCCTGTGGTCCTGGAGCTAGCAGAGTGCAAATAGCTGTTCCCTTCAAAACCCCCTCTGTTTTCAAATAGACCATTCTATTCTACATTCTACTAATGATTACATCTGACCTAATGTGAACTCACTGGAAAGAAAAGTTCAGTCCTGGCCTGATACATCCTTGTAGCCAGATCAATAAGTCTTTGCCATTAGTGTCAAAACACTGTGCACGTACAGGGCCAGAAGAGTTGACTTGAGGAATTGGCATGATGCTCATTGTGGCATCTGATGTTTGTCAGTCCAGTCAAAGGATGGACACCTTTGCCTGTAAGCTCCTGTAGAATGAAACAGACTTTGTAAGTCTCCATCTCCATGTTGTGCCTCAGGTACTACTTCATGGACAACGTAGAGTCAGTGTGCATTACACTACAGACTCCTCTTGGAGAAGAGAGGGATGTAGTAGTAACATCTCATTCTCCCTCCCACTGCCACTGAACACTCAAGCTAAGCAAGAGCTTTGTTTCGGAGATCTGAGAGCTTGGAAAATGAGCAGAACCCAAAGAGTAGTGTATGTCCACGGGAGACAGGGACACAGAGGAGCCCAGGAACACAGCACTACGTAGGGTCATTTAACCACTGATCAGCTGTAGATGCACACCACGTACCAATGCAAGAGCTTCTTTTTCATCCAAAGCAATACTTGTATTTAAAACCCATGGCATTCAGCTTAAAGACACGTCATTTATCTTTCCCTACCCTGGCAATTGCTGTAAACCTCTACCAGGAACTAAAAATGAAGCATGTATCATGGCTTATTTCAAGCATTACAGAGACCTAAGTCCTAGCAAGGTAACAGTTATATAAGAATAAAACAGGGGCAGTTGATTCCTACCACAAGGAGCTGAAAAAATTAAACAGACAAAAGAGTCAGCTGAAATTAGCCTCTTCTGGAGATGGAGTTCATGGAACTGGAGAGATTAATGGACTTAATTAGGAAGTCAAGAGCTGAGGCAATAATTAAACTGAAATCACCTGAGAACACATTAAGTTCCTTAACCTCAAGACCATTCTTCTTTTCTAAATTGCAGGCTACGTTTCTTCTCCCTGATTGAATGACCCCTGTAATTAATCAGCATTGATTTCAAATTGCTCTTTTAGGTATAAGCGCTACCTTTTACCTACCACTGGTTGCAACACAGCTACTGGCTAGCTTGGCTCAGAAAGTTGACGAGCTCTTGCAGAATGAGCAGCTGCAGATGGAGTGCTTACCCTGCTGGATCTGCTGTGAGAAGCAGAACTGGACTCCCACAAATAAACTGTTTCATGCTGACTCACTTCAAAGGAAAAATCTGTTTCCAAGATGCTGTCAGGGGCTGCAGAATTTGTCATCCGGTGACAACTCCCACTTTGGGAAAGAGAATATGAAATCCATCACCACTACCAGCAAAGAATGCTTTATTCATGTTTTGAGGTTAAAATTACATCTTCACTTTGATGGGCTGTAGTAGGCAAGAAAACAGAATGAGCAATAAGCCTAACTACCTTCTCTCTCTGCAACAGCCTACTCTGTTACTC